CACCTCACAGTAGCGGTAAGGGTTAGACTAAATTTTAATCTAAGTAAAGAGAAGGGAATCAAACACCACAGCTAAAAAGAACATATTAATGAACTTAGTAAAATTGCAAAATTTGGTTGCGAAATGCTGTAAAGCTTGGAAAATATAGTCTTGCAAAGTTTGTACATAATATTTGTATTACTTGCGGAAATTGTTACCATTTTCGGCTCAAAAATAGTAATAATTTCCGCACGTAATACAAACATATACAAAATATGCAAACTTCGCAAACGTATTTTACAACATTTCGTAACCAAATTTTGCATTTTTACTAATTTTAATAAAATCTTTACGGGAATTTATTATTATTCGCCTAGATAAAAAAATTAGTCTAACATGCAAGTTAATTGTCTATTGCGCAATACTTTAATGTTTACCTCTTTCTTGATGTAATTCCACAATGAGTCAACATATTCTGTAATAAATCTTGAGTCATATACATTCGCACAGGCAGCCTGAACAGAAAAACTTCAAATAATGTAAGTACTGTAAGGAACTACATTCCACGTCGGTTTGAATTACTGTGCTGTCGATGGCAGTGAAATTCATGTTGACACTAAAGGAAGCAAGACATTTAAACTAGATCTTTCAATTCGAATATCAACCAAATACAAGATTACTGTTTGTCGGAACAACTGAGTATTTTAATTAAATACAATACAATAGTAACTCCGAAAACGGTAAACATTTTGAAAAGTATTTATTGGACGTTTCGACCAGATTTTAGTCATTATCAGGAATCCTAATGACGACTAAAATCCACCGTTTTCGGAGTTATTATAATTGTATTGTACAAGACTACTATAGTATATGTATATTGAAAAGAATTGAACACCATCTGCTGCACGATAGTGTTTACTGAAACCTATCTAAATCTATATAGTTAAAGCCTGGTACAACCAGTGTGGATTATAACGTTTTTGCTTAGGTCTGACAAATGTCCGATCAACAAGATTGTTGCTCGGACATTGAAAAAGAATGGTCGGCCAACTATTTCAACCATTTTTACGAAAAAATAAAACATCTTTTTGTAAGTAGTGAGTATTGGAAACGCTATAGACTTACTATCGAGATTCTGTCACTTGAGAGAGTATTTGCTAAAAGAGAAGCTCAATGACGATGTTTCCTCTGAATGCTTTTTTCATCCAAATATTTATTGATTGCATGGTACACTACTAGGTATAGTATGCTTTTCAAACCGTACTTTTTACATAAGCTACTTTCAATTAAAATGAACATTGTCTATTTTATTTGATCGGTCAAAATGTCCGTGTAGAATGAAATTGCTCGGCCATTCGGTGTTTTTGTTTGGCAAATAGCCGACTGCCGACCATTATAATCCACACTGGGTACAACGCAAGCATAAGCACAAGGACAAGCAAGCGGAATGTTTTGATGTCCTTATGCTTGTGTTGTTCTGGGTTATAATGGTTATTGGATGTGGCATGACTTACGAGAGTTAACAAAGCATCCTTTTTGGCATAAACAACGTCTGAGGATAATTTTTCAATCAAAAGAGGAAGACAAAACTAAACAAAACAAAAAACATCATTCAACAAAAGCAAACAACAAAACATCATTCAACAACAAGTCGCTATCCAACCTGCCCCTGTGAAATTTACTGTGAATTTTATCATTTATTGAATATATATGCTTTCGAAAGATTCTAAACTTTTCTGCATGCGAGTATACAGTATAACAACCACATTAAAAGCAGGTAAAAGGGAGAATAACTAGAATCTATTCTGGCACACAAAACTTGACATGTCGATAAAGTTGGGTTTTTCGTAGTTTCTTTTCTCGTATAGATTCCGAGTCTTTTTGATCGACTTGATTGTACCTGGAACACTATATGGCTTATAACTATTCTCATATCTATAGCATTTGTGTCAAACGAGTAAAACTCTCATTAACTTTTGTCAAAACGTACGCTAGCTCAAAATCGACAATCAAATAAGAAATTTTCATCAGCACTAGTCTGTGTTTCATCATGGTTTAATTGCGGACGGTATGCCTCATTTTCAAATCAATAAAATATACTTACTGGGGCAAAAATAGAGGTAGCAGCCAGGCATTTACGGAGAGCTATGATGAGCTGTTCTCTTGTTATTGCATTCGGATCATTGGATGGCTACATCAAATAAATACGCAATCGTTCAGTTTGTATTTGTATGTTTTTACGTCAACATTGTGTGTGAATTTCTCAAACATAATTATCATGAGCTGCAAAAGACAAAGAAACTCCTGATCCTGAATCCTAATCCTTGTGACGTCATTTCGGGACGGTAATTTAACAACTGAAGTCATCCGGTAGTGTAGTTCTACAAAAGGTAGTCGCACTCCAGTGCGTCGCAGTTCACACATACGATCAGGGACTTAGCCACTAGCCAGGGTTTCGTAGTTTACCCGTTCACTAAATGAGTGTCTTGTTGAGTGTCTTTTCCAAGTTAAACTGTTGAAGATCAAATTATGAATCGCAACATATTTGCAACTTATACAAGCAGAGAAAGGGGACTGGCATTTTGGCAAGTTGCAGCAGTACTGCAAATCTGCAATTTGTCATTATATCCGTTAGCGGATAACAGGAGTTTTTATAGTTTGTTTAAATATTTTGGCCTGTCCACTTGGCTAAGCCCCTGCATACTATGAGTGTAAACAAAGTTAAGATGTCAAAATCTACCAAAATTGCCAAAGACTTACAGGAGTGAAGTCGATGGGAAAATAACATGACGTCACTTCAAACAGATCTTCAGCAAAGAGAGCTAAGAATAAAATGCATGTAAAACATTTGAAGATTAAAAAAGGTTTGGAGTAAGTTAACACAACAGAGACAATGTAAAGCATCAGTCCAGCACTGTTCAACATTGGTTGCCCTTCCAAGCAGTCCAACATGTTAGTTCAATATCATGATTATATATTGTTGGATGCAACTTTGTTAGGCCGGTTGCAACATTATTTTTGATAATGTTGCATGGCTTATGTTGGAAGATGTTAGACCAGGTTTTCACTGTTGTTCAAACTTTGTTGGACGGACAATGTTGGGATGTTGGGCAGTACTAGAACGGCCCTTGATGACTTTGCATTATTTGCAAAATTTAGACCACAACGTACATAAATTGTACCGATCGAAAGCTTTGCACAATAAATTAATGTCGTGTTTTGCTGTTTTACAGAAAAGGGAATTTCTCACCAAACACGCCTGCAATAACTCTTGTGCAGTAATATTTTGTGCAGTTAACATTTTGTGTGGCAGTGTTCGCACAGATAGTCATAGTTATTCGTTGACTTGTTCTTACTTGTTATTCGTCGATATTTTTTGGATGTTATGTATTATTTAGCTCTTTGTTTGTAATATTTTTTTTGTATGTGTATAGTTTATGGGGAACCCGTTATTGGAGCCTCGGCACTGTGGGTATGCCCTACCCTTTTGGGTAAAATACAATAAATACAAATAAATGAAAACAACTCTTACTGATGGGAAAATTCTTTACTATGATTTGAACAAGATTAAAGCAAACCAACAAATTCCTTGGATCCTAAAATTGAAAGGCTGCATGTTACCAAGGAGTGGAGTTTAAATATTTATTTTTGATAATAGCGAGGCTCAGATTTGACTTCCACTACCGCTACCAATACCTCTCGCTGACTTTGTACGCATCTGATTGGTTAATCGGATATAGCAAACGCATGTGATTGGTTAATAGTCCATGAATGGTAGCGGTAGTGGAAGTCAAATCTGAACCTCTCTATTACCACAGAATACTACACAGAAGGCGATCTCCATTGTTTATTGCGTAAGCGCTGTTCGTCAGCCTCGTACCCAGGCGCAAATAACTGAAAATAGGCACACTACAGTGTTTTTATATAGATCAGTGGCTAAGCTGAGCAAGCGCGCGGGGGTGCTTGGGGAGGACGCGGCGCCCCGCGCGCTCGCTCAGCTCAGCCACTGATCTATATACGAACACAGTAGTGTGCCTATTTTTAATTATTTACGCCTGGGTACTTTGTCGCCGTGTGGGAGAAAGCCAGTGGAGAAAGCAACGTAAAGAGTCGAACGAAAATATCAATTATGCGTCAATCGATACAAAACTTACTGAAGTGTGAGTGTTCTGGTGTTTTGCACAGCGCCATTTTGGATATTTCCAGGGGTGACTACTTCTGTTTAGGGTACATGCTGAGTGACGAATCATGACGAATAGAGCTTACGCAAAAAACAATGCAGATGGCCTTCTGCATGGCATTCTGTGGCTGTGCTATTACTGTAAGGCAGAAAGCTACACTCAGCAGGCAACTACCGAAATACTGCCTATGTATAGTAAGCTAACTACTATAAACGGGTTAACGCGTAAACTTTCTCTGTATCTAACGAATGAACGGTACTTGAACGACATTCTGTTTTTATTCACATTTTTATAGTCTTTTGCGCGTATAGTCGAGCTGTTGTAGTGATCTTCATTTTCATTATTTCTTTATTGATATATTATATGTTATATAGCATAGCAACAAAATTATGTGTTACTCAAACATTAACTCCCAAAATGTCGTCACTGCGTCTATTTCGTGTTTTAAACTGCCAGTGTCGATCATACACCAAAATACTTAATATTAAGTAAAACCATAACTTCACAAACTCAGACCTTTTCTCCATCCATGCCTTGGATAAAACCAAAAACAAAATCTCCACCAAGTTTTTGCAGCTCTTAGAAAGTTAGGAAGAAAAACAATCAGGGGAAGAGAAAAACACAACAAATAATCCTTATAATTTGGTGTATTAAAACATTATGTTACTGATCTACAGAGCAGGGAAAAAGAATTTTCTTCCTGGGAGCACAAGCTGGGGAGAAAAATTTCCTGCAGACCAACGGAGTATGTTTGTGCTAAATCTGCATATAGTGTTCTAGCTGACCATGGTTTTAAATTCAACAATCATATATTCATATGTTGTTGCGCCCATAGTGGAACATGCATGGGTGCAAATCTTCATTCAAATGAACTTCCGCAGCTGTTTAACATTTCCTGCGAGCCGTGCTCGCATGCTTGCCTATTTTTTCCACCCCTGCTGACATTTCTAATTGTGCGTCAACAGTTATTCTTGAAATCACTGACTGTACAGTACATTTCATAGAAACTAGAAAAATAATCACTTTATCTTCCTGCAAAAAAGGGATGCCTTAACACTAATGAAAAAAGGATGAAAACTTGGCATGTCCCCGCGTGTCAATTCTGGAGAAGAAAAATAATATATAGGGATAAACATTTTTCAAATAGTATAGTTTTTCATATATGTTTGGCGAATGATCAGCATACTAGTTTGGCAAAGATTATCTGTAGTTCTTAATCTTACCAGACATTTTCTTGTTCAACAAAACAGAGAACAATGTGTAAAGGTTGTGTCGATCTCCTTGCAACAATGACTGAAAATTGTACAATAAATTTATTAGTCAGTCAGAGTCAGAGTGAAAGTGTTTACTGTTAAGACAGAAGTAGCAAAGTACAGCGTTATTTTCATAATATACCAAATGAATGTACCTGGACATGAATTTCTTTGAATATTGCTTGCACTATTTTGATTGCCAACCCTTCAGGAATTTCTTGATAACTAACCTGGCATTAAAATATCATTGTTTCCTGAATATACCGTATGCTGTTGTGTTTGGTAGAAAACACATTCCTAACCATACAGTACAGTAACCTACCAATGCCAGTAACATGCTAGAAACTAAATTCTAACCATGTAGAACCAGGGCACCTGGCAATAACCTACCAATGCCAGTAACCTAGCAGCTAGTAAGTAACTAATTCTAACTATGCAGTAACCTACCAGTGCCAGTACGTTGCTAGCAACTACGTAATTCTAACCATGCAGTAACCTACCAATGCCAGTAACCTGCTAGTAAATAATTCTAACCATGCAGTAACCTACCAACACCAGTAAGTTGTTAGCAACTATGTAATTCTAGCAGTAACCTACCAATGCCAGTAACCAGCTAGTAACTAATTCTGACTACCAGGGCCAGTAACCTCCTAGTAACTAATTCTGACCATACAGTAACCTACCAATGCCAGTAACCTCCTAGTAACTAATTTTAACCATGCAGTAACCTACCAGTGCCAGTAAGTTGCTAGCAACTATGTAATTCTAGCAGTAACCTACCAATGCCAGTAACCTGCTAGTAACTAATTCTAACCATGCTGGAACCTACCAATTCTAGTAACCTGCTAGCAACTAATTCTAACCATGTAGTAACAGGTCTACCAATGCCAGTAACCTGCTAGCAACTAATTCTAACCAAGCAGTGACCTATCAATTCTAGTAACCTGCTAGCAACTAATTCTAACCATGTAGTAACATAACCTACCAATGCCAGTAACCTGCTAGCAACTAATTCTAACTAACCATGCAGTAACTAGCTACCAATGCCAGTAACCTGCTAGCAACTAATTCTAACCATGCAGTAACTAGCTACCAATGCCAGTAACCTGCTAGCAACTAATTCTAACCATGTAGTAACCTACCAATGCCAGTAACCTGCTAGCAACTAATTCTAACCATGCAGTAACCTATCAATTCTAGTAACCTGCTAGCAACTAATTCTAAGCATGTAGTAACCTACCAATGCCAGTAACCCAGAGACAACATGTGGTATAATTGAAAAATGATCTTTCAGCCGATCACAGAAAAACTCCACCAAGATTGTGACTATAAAACATTTGAAGTTTGTGAGTTCATAGCAAACAGGTGAAAAAGATCGCTCAAACACTGTCCAAGACTTTTGACGTTTATACCTTCTTTGTCTACGAGTTTAAAAGACAGCAATCTATGTAACAACAATGCCAATAATTGAGTTCCTTTACATCGCTCACTGGCATCAGGATTTGTCAGATATGGTCTAAAATGACAGGATGATCAATGTAACCAATAAACCTAACTCTCTATTGCACTTTTCCCCCTATGGCCTCATTTCCTTGTCATTTTGGCAAATATATTTCTAAATTAAGGATTCCTAGCCATTTTTTGCAATCTGCAGCCAAAAGCTAGATGCCATAAAAAATGAAATTTCATATTTATAATAACAAACGTGAAGGTGCATCCCCATTGTGAGTAACTGTCTGATCAGATGAGAACTAATCCTGACTCAACTCTTTTAGGGAAGGGCTTTGGTTAGGTTGGGTTGGGAAAAGTTGGGTTGGGGCCGTTGGGCAAGGTTCAGATTTTATTTTCTGAAACAACCTGATGATTTAACGGAACCGCTCAAATTAATTCACAGACAAATAGTCAAAGCTCCTGGTTTTTCGTGATTTTGAAACAAATAACCACTTCGTATAAAAGTAGCAATTAACGCATTTAACGGTTACAGTCTTACAGTTGTCATTCATTTGCATATTAAAAGTATTAAAAATACCACTAATGGTGAATATTCAGCTAGAATTTATTCACCAAAAGACAAAACTGCTGCTAGAAAAAAAATAAATTTACAACTGCTTGCTTACCCCAACCTTTCGACCAGTACAACGAGACTAAGATCCTTAGAAAGTATCGCTATATAAACAAGAAAAACAATAATTACGGAAACAGCTTTACACTTATTCGTCATTTATTTCAAGTACCAGATAAAGGAAAGGTATTTACAACAAGTACTTGCCTTTATTAATGCTATTAATCGTTTGAATTTGCTCACTTTCCGACTGAACTTTCATATAATTTTCGACCAAATCGTCCGCCATATTGGAATTTCAATGTGAGGAAGGCGCGGTTACATTTCTACCGTACCAGTCTCCGAATCTCTGCTCCCGCAAGGGGGGACAGTCAATATTGAGTTTTGGAAAAATTTAGAGAAAATGTGGGCGAGTAATATAAATACGGGATGACAGTTTGAAACTTTACTTCAATGGAGCTTCAACGCATATGCCTTTTCGTGCTTGTTTTGGGAAGAAGAGTGATTTTCGAAGCAGAGTTTCACCGAAATATATCTGTCTATCACCAGGCATTATACCCACCACAATTTGTCTATAGTAACCATGTGAAATTGCTGGAAATCAGGAAATGCACTTTCCTAATCCTACACCAGACCCTCCTAGGTATTCCCCTAGGTATATGTTCGCGGACGGAACTTAATTCATCTCAACACCAGCCCCCCCTCTCCATCGTAAATTCGCTGCGCGGTCCCTGGTTTACTATCTACAGTAGCAAACTTAAACAACAGTCTCTAGATCTTTCCTTATCCACATTTAAATATTTACTTTACGGGTACTACAGCTATGAATGTGAAAATCCCCGGAGCGAGAAATCAATCTACTTGAAATGTACCGCTGCCCCACAGTAATTGGTTTTATACTGCATGTTGTGATGACCCTGCCACTCTTTTAGGTGGTAAAGTTAAAATAAATAATCTGCAGTTCAACATGTAACTTCAAAAAGCATTAATAATTCATGAGGAAAACACAAAGAAAATTCATAAGCATTCGCAGTGCGTGTTTTATCAGACCTAAAGATATACTCGGCTTCGCCTCGTATCTTTTCTTTATATCTGATAAAACACTCCTTCTCGTGTTTTAAATACTACATAAAACAGCGAAGCATTGTATTAACAAACTTTTTATTTACATTTACTCTATTTACAACCAAGTATCTTCCGTCATAGAAAGATTTTCTTCAGCAGGAATGATTTCTTCAAACGATTTGGAAGAATATATTCGATAATGAAGACACATTGGTAACTCCTATAGAGAAAATAAAATCGTTAATGTAGAGTTGCAGATCCACACAACCTCGGTTCGCAGGCAATTTTCTACTGAAAATAGACATTTGGTCAGCTATGATTACGTATCAACAAGCATCCCACTCTCAATTTTAGGGTAGCAAAACGAAGGTCTGTGCTCAGGCTACTCCATTGGCTACAGGCTCTTCCTCTGGGAACTTGGTTTGTGGATATAAAAAAAAAATTATCTGAAACAGCAACATGAATTTTTGACATGTCCACTGACGGAAGGATTTGCTCTAAACGCGAATCTGTTTACTTTATTTCTCCTCTCATGAATTTTGTCAAACCAATAAATCCATGGTGTTTTCTTGAATAGTAGTGGTTAATACAATACCTTTCCTCCCCAGTGTGTCATGTAGAGCTGTTTCATTGAAATAGCGGGGTTGACCAGCTCATTTTCACAGAGAAACTCAAGCTGCAGAAGTTGAAAAACATCTTATGTCATATGCCATCAGTAAATAATTCGTATTTAATAATTAAGACAAGCAACACAGACAGTTAAGGATAGACATACAGACAGAAAACAAACAAACAAACAAACAAACAAACAAACAAACAAACAAACAAACAAACAAACAAACAAACAAACAAACAAACAAACAAACAAACAAACAAACAAACAAACAAACAAACAAACAAACAAACAAACAAACAAACAAACAATATTATATGACCTATTGAATAGATAGTTTACTTCTCAAAATATATATTTATTTTGATTCAAACAAAAATCAATAACACTTTTAAATTTATACATAAATCGGGCGCGGCAACGAAACAATTCTCGTAAACACAAAAACATTTTTGATGGACATTCTAAAACGTTTTACGTGACTCATCAGAAATAAAAATGCCATCGTAAAGATGTAGCTTCTGTTTCTTACGTTTTATACCTGTTTATCTGGAGATAAATTCATTTTCTTTCGAAGAAGTTTTGCGAGATGTAAGATCACCACTCGGTGTGAACAACGTAAGTATTGCCGAGATAATGCCTACAGGTGAATAAAGATAATTTTCGTTTATAATCACTCGTTTCCAATCCCCGTTGACTCGATTGCTTCAGCCTCCTCAATCTTGGACCCAGCAACCCTGAGTCTCCTCAACAGGCCATCATGCCTTATGAGAAGGTAACAATTTCTAGAGGATTTTTCAAAAGCAACTGAAATTTACTAAAAAACTACAGCATTAAAGAACGATCAGCTTACTGGTTTTTCGTAGGTTTCGGATGATCTAAAAATAAAATGACACTGAAATTATTATTACACAGAGAGTGATTCCAACAATGATAGATTAAGAGGCAATTTTTTTCAATGTCACGTATTTGCGATAAAAAGTGTTCAAAACCTAAAATTTTGTAGTTTACACAGTTAGCAACCGTTACAAATGTATCTGGCGGTTGAGAAATACAAAATAATAGTTACATTTTGTCAATGGATGATTGCAGCCCAGCTATAGACTAAATTTTGATAGCTGTGGTGGGATTTTGATCACAGCTTGAAAGAGCATCACAAAATTAGTAATATTCCAAAGTTTCGTTGCGAAATGTTGTAAAATGCGGATAATATAGCCTTGCGAAGTTTGCCGTTTTTCAGTCATTTTGTATTACAAACGGGAAATTAACATCCGATTCGGGTGTTGGGCTGCAATTTCCCGTTTGTAATGCAAAATGACTGAAAATTGCAAACTTCGCAAGGCTCCATTTTCCTCAGTCATTTTGTATTACAAACGGGAAATTGATGCCCCAACACCAGATTGGGCTGTCAATTTCCCGTGCGTAATACAAAATGGGCTGAAAACTTCGCAAGGCTATATTATCCGCATTTTACAACATTTCGCAACGAAACTTTGGAATATTACTAATTTTGTGATGCTCTTTCAAGCTGTGATGAAATTTCCGTCTAGATCAAAATTTAGTCTATAATGCAAATGGTCCATTGCCTAGATCAAAATTTAATCTATAGCTGGAATTGCCTATTTAAATACAATTATCATTGACATTGATGTTGTAAAATTGGCGCCTAACGTCAGTTTCTCTTTGTTGTTAGCAGGTTTTAGCAATTAACTGATGTTGCACTGTATCAAAAGTAGTGTGTAAAGATGGAGATATATCTTTCACTAGTCCACTGTCCACGGCACTGGATTTCCCGCCCCAAATATATTTTTCTCTAGCCAGTCCACTTGTCAAGTAAGGCGATTTTCATTGGCTGGCTGACTAAATATAATCAGTTGTAATTTGATATTTTCGGCAATCGTTGCCGAAAGTTAAATCCAGCGCAGGGTTCGTAGTCTCCAAGACCAAAAAAATTCAAAGACTTTCAATGATTTTTTCTGCCTATTTTGAAAGACTTTTCAAAGACCTTTGAGAGCAAACAGCTGTCGAAAAATTGCGAGTGTATAAGCACCATTTTTACCCAGTAATTAGTCCCGTCAAATCACATTCTAAAATGCGCCTTTTCGTCGATATTTGCGAAAATCTCGCTTCAATCAATCTATTTTATTAGCTAGGAAATCGTATAATCAAATACTCACTAAAGAATTTAAAGACTTTTAAAGACTTTCTTCGCTTTTTCACACAATTCAAAGACTAGTTTCGAAGACCTTAAAGACTTGTATTCAAATTTAAAGACTTTCAAAGATTTCAAAGACCGCTACGAACCCTGTCCAGCGTGTCCACCCTTTGGTGAAGGTGAAATTCAAGGACTTCTCCAGGACTTCCAAGGCCCTTTTTCAGCAAATTCAAGGACCTAGAACTGGGAAAAATCTTTGAAAATGGCACGGATTTGCCTCTCTTTGATTCACTTTATTCAGTAATTTTAATCAAAATCACTAATGTTGGCACAGCTGGAGGTTAAGGAAATTAATTCCAGGATTTTCAAGGACTTCTACTAATTTTCAAGGACTTTCCAGTCCTGGAATTTTTTTTTCCAATTCAAGGACTTTCCAGGATTTTCAAGGCCCGTGGACACCCTGCAAATCATTTCAACTTTCGGCGACGATTGCCAAAGGTATCAAGTTACAACTGCGTTGCCAGGGGGAGAGAAAAAATCGCACGCATAATCTGGGGCCTGGGCTTAACAACGTTTCGAGTGAAATTAATGACTTTGAATCCCTCAAAATTATTACTCAGATCGCTACCAACATCCCACACTGAAGATTTTATCACAAGACTTTGCATGTTGTTCCACCTCATGAAATTGCACAAAGATAAATTTTAAGCTGCAAAACACACCCGTACGGTTTTAAACAAATGGAGATCAATTCATCATCTCGAAAACTATTCATGTATTCTGTGACGTCATTTCTGATTGGTGAATGGCTGCCATCATCACTATCACATTCTGTGAGAACAAAATATAATGACCTTTTTAACGAGAGCAAACTTTTCTTCTATTATAGCAACTTCCTGTAATATGCAGTTGTCTGCATGATTATAGTTTTTGGAATATTACAATTAGAGTGCTTCCAGAACAAGGTTTTTCAGGCTACCCGTGTTTCTTCCCATAGTAACACTGGATCAAGAATAAGAGAACAGTTCAGAACTAAGTTTAGTTAGTTTAGGTTTCTTCCTGTACTAGACATATAAAGTAGGACGATTACTGGACCTCTAGGGAGAACAGTTTAGAAGTGTTAAGCCTGGTTGCACTATCAGAGTTTTGAAGGATTTGTAAGACTGACTTAATGTTAAACACTCGGTTCCCTCAAGCATTTCTTACAAATCCTTCAACTTAGAATTTATGGAATTATGCCGATGCAAAATTCCCACTGTGATCTCAGAAACTTTAATAGTGTAAACCATTTGTTACAGAAATGGACCATTAAAGAAAGGGACAATGGACCATTAAAGAAAGGCTGGCCAGCCTAGGTAACGTGAGCAATTTAGAATAGAGCTATACCGAATGGTCTCTTTGTTTTAGTTGTTCAAACATCGTTTCTACAATTATTTAACACAGCTGTACCTTCCGTTTCTTTCTTAGGCACAGGCATTCCTCTTTCTTCATAAAAGGCATGTTCCTTTGCTTCTTCATCTGTCAAAGAAGAGATGTATAGTTCCAGTGTAGGTAGCATTCTGAGTATTCTTGACAGTGATTTTGCATTATCAAGCTTCTAAACTTGTCTGCTTATTAGACTGTTTATTGGTGTTGAGACTCTGGTTTGGACAAACACCCCATGTGTTTTTAATATCTAATGGTACTTATTAATAAAATCATTAATTTCAGATAACCTTTTGTTGACTGACTGTTCATACCTTCAAACAAGTTAGGAACAACTTTGAAAACAATATCCTGCATTGTTCTATCCAAACTAAATAATCAATAAGATTTTCATATTAACTAGTCATAAAAGAAGCAATCAATAGCAAACTTTATGTCTCAAGCAATAAGGCCTTCCATCTGGAATTTGCCACACATTAGGTTTCAATATACATCATATATGATATGAATCAGTATAGCTGCATGGTCAAGTTTGTAGACTTGTCCAGTTTATAATACAGTGAAAGGTTAATATGATGAAGTCTTTGGGATTAAAGCTTGTTGTCTGGAGGTTTGAGATGTCTAGAACTTTAGTGACAGTAGGTTGACAAGTGATCAGTGTTTGTGCAAAGTGTTTGCTGGCTTTTCCAGTACATGTTTCCAATTTACATAATTATACAGATATTAATTTGAAGAGGTGCTTTCATGTTGATAGTTTGTAGTCCATTCTACGGGGATGACAATTGTCCATTAGCAGAGGTTCTACTGCAATTATTATAATAATATTACCTGACATTTAGCAAAGGTTGAGTTTCATGAATTTTCAAGTTACATGTGGGGCAATATTTGCTGAGTTGAAGATACTTTACAATACATCTTCTACAAACTAAGACAAAAAAACTATCAGCATTAACAACTTGTTGTGCACTATAGGGAGGGGAGGGGCTGGGTGAACTTCAATGTTTTGAGCAAAGACTACTCTCGATCATCTGGAAGTTTCTTGGGTTGGGAAAACACACATGCTTTCATACTATTAATAGTGAATAATATATAAAAGGCACCACATGATAAAATAAACCAATCAGATCTGATATCAAATTATGACAGTGACATGACGAAGACAGAAAACAATACCAATAAGTTCCACAGAAACCTTTCAAAATTGCAACATTACTAGTTTTGAAAATATAATGGGCGACATGCATACCCACCCCAAGAGAGCTAGGGCTCTTGGAAATTACAGATCGATGGGTGACAGCAGAAATTTCTGGTTGTTCCAAAACATCAGAATTAAATTAAAGGTAATTTAATTTGCAAGCCCTATCTGATACAATGGCAAAATAATTTGTAGGTACATAATTGGGTACTGCACCATCCACTTACATGTATGGAGACATTCTGTAATTGTTGTTGCATCAATAAAATATCCCGCACAAAGACTGCAAACAATGTGTGGATTGATTTCTCGAATTTTGACTACTTTCTAAAATAGATTTAGATTCAATGCTGTCAGGAGAACTTGGATTCTTTACAAATCAGAAGAGTGGCAAACCACTTCCCTGATTATAACCAAGCAGCTACAGAAATTGAAGAATCGTGAACAGCAATACCAGGGGTATTTTCCGGGGGGTGGGTGGATGCATGATAGGGGGGAATCCCCCCCAATCTGAAAATAGCTAAATTATGGTGGGAGCGTTTCCCCCCAAAATGAAATATGAATATCATTATCAATATTAATCTGGTAAGGGATATAACCTTGACTATAAAAATGGGTAATCATGCACTTAGGTTATATGTGCAGTTGGTGAACTCAGGTATCATTTCTATCCCCTCACTTGGAAATAGGTGAGCGTAGGAAACAATGTCGGAGTTTGTGACTATAGGAGGGGGAATCCCCCCCAAATAAAAAAACCCCTGAAATTTGGGGGGAGCTCCCACCCAAGTCCCAAAACCTAAAATACCCTTCTAGCAATTGAAAGTTCTGTTGCCATGTTATGTAAGAAACTTGTGGAAAAACTAATTCCTCTATGGAACAAAATAATCAAGGGGAGCCATAGCTGTGCATGGGAGTGATCTCAAAATACAAAGGCAATATTTAAGAGATGTGCATTATAAAATAGTTACGACTTGATGAGCGACAAATGATGAGCAACAAATTAACCCACACTTTTACCATTTGACCTACAAAACATGTGACTGTACAAACTACGTTTCTGACATCCAAACATGCAGAGCACAAGAGGTTGCCAACACCACCAAGAAATTTTGACATTTTTGTCAGAATTAATATGTTATCAAAATAATTAAATGATAACAAATAAATAAAATCTTAAATCATGTTTTTAAATCAAAGCCCCCGGCCCAGTCCCTGGGAGCTTGTTGTCTTAATTTATTGGTCCAAACTGCGCAAATTATTTTCTACACACATAGCCAACTTAGCATACGTCTGGTTTTCTGCATTTTTGTGGGGGGATGCAACTAGAGAGGGGGCTGATTTTACTTCGGGGTGAATGCTATAGGTTTTTAAGACATTACGACACCATGCAGATGCCATGTTTATTGACATCACCCTGACCCGCAACAAATGTCTAGCTGTGGGGTGGGGGTTAAATGGTTAATTAATTAATAAACAGTTTAGTTTATTTTTTACTTTATTATTACTGTAAATCATATTGCATTGAATAATTATATATACGTTTTCTTGTCCTTTAATCTCTCAGCACACTGAAAATCAACGCAGTACAACACAAACTTACATCCATGTATATATCTTCGGTTATCTCCTGCAATTTTTGTTTGTGATCATACTTTTATTCCCAAAACAAAAAAACATTTTTGAACAAATTTTTCCACCATGTTGAATAAATTATCGCCTAATTAGAATTATTTCAGCGGAAGTAATTATTCTTTAATGAAAAAAATGGTTTATTGTTAAAAATTCAAACAACATGCCATCACATGAGGCGATTGAGTTCCCGTGACAAACACTAAAATTGCGCACATTAATGGCGATCGAATCCTATCCAAAATTCTCTCATTGGAAACAGAAACGTCCAGCCTAACTACCAGGCAAGTAAGTAAAAATATATTGAGCATAGAATAGTTGCATATAGAAATGCGTTAATGCGCGTTTTGTAATATTTCCCCCTGGGGACCTCCAGGAATCGATTTGAGGTATTCTATTATACCAAAACATTACCTTTTACTTCGAAATGACAGCTTTATGAATCATGCTATACACGCAACAAGGACTGATAGAATTTATAGTTTGCTTGAAAGTGAAATTAGTGAAAAAGATAATTTATTTTCCTGACATGTTTAATTGCCTAGCTCTTATGTCTAATATCACTCTCTCGTCTAAAGAGGTTATTCATTGTACTAGTTCAGCCACCTTTGGTCTTTGGACAGATCTCTGAGTTTATTGGGCCAGCAACCACATCCTGATTAACCCTGAGATATCTGTCTGATGTATGATTAATAACCTCTTCATGCAGACGAGGGAGCCTATTAACCCACTACTGTATCGGTCATTATAGATGCAAGACTCGATCCCCTTGTCAAATAAAATTGTCTGGTGTTGTAGACAGGGTCAAATAATAAAATAGGGTGCATTTGGGTACATTGCAGCTTAATGGGTTAAAGGATTTAAATAGCAATGTGCTCCTTTCTAATTTCAGACAATTTTACTGCATGTGCTTAATATTCTCGATTAAGCTGGGACTTAATACATATTTATTATTTAATGGATAACCAAACTATTTGACCATGTCTTTTTATGCTAACTGTCAACTAAGGGCCTGTTCATATGCGCCGGGCTGGCCCGTTAAACTGAGCTAGCTTGCTTTGCCAGGCCAAGTTGTTATTTTTTTTACATGAGGCTGGCTAGCCCGGCAAACGCTATAGAAATTCCAGCGTGATTTTTGGTGGGAATGCGATATTTGTTTTAATTTTGAAAAATGCTATTTTTATTGACGGGAACTGCTTCAGAAGTTTTAATATTGTTGATTTCTTACTTGTTTTGAATTCTTAGATGCTTTCTAGATACAATAAAGCAGGCGTTGTGACACAATTTCCACAATGGCCTGCTAGACTGTGTGTTCACATGAGCCCAGCGGTTTACTGGGCCAGCCCGGCTCGTATGCAGGTCCCAAGAAACATGCACTCTTTTTTATTTCACTCTGTTTAATGTAACTAGACAATTGCCACATAAAGAAAGCGGAGGCTCTTCCTTATTATGAATAGTTGAACCAATGACTCATTAATTATCTACAAATACAAATATTTTACAACAAAACTGACCCATTAACAACAAACAACAAAGTCGGAGTAGTTTTATCAAATACATTTACAATGAACAATATTTCCCAAGCAGAAAAAAATGGATGAAATAAACGAAGAATCGTCATCAACTGTCACAGCGTCATTTGAAGATTGTGAAATGTCATCCACAATTGATGAGATGTGTGATCTTGCATTAAAGTTTCTTGACCAATTACGAAATGACGGAACAGAAGAAATGAAGCAAATTAATGGACTGGAAGCATTATGTGAAATCACAAGTGACGTTCTGAGTGATGGAAAGCTGAACAAAGAAAGTAATTAACTTTAACACATATTTATAAGATTTGGATCAATTGAAGTATGCGACTCCCAATAAATGAGTGCTGTGTTGAACTTCCTTGTTCAGACAAAAATACTTATTTATTATAAATTAAGTGATTTTTAACCCATTGAATGCCAGCATTCTCCCTTTGACAAGTAAAATCATCTGTCGTTAACAGAGTAAACTAATAATTAAAAGTAGGGCACATTGAGACATAATGCAATAACTCAATGGGTTAAAGAATAAGGCTATTGCATGCTGCTGAACATAACTCATTATATTTTCAGAGGAATATTTTGGCAAGACATTATGGCTTGCAGAGATAAACAAAGCCATGGAAAGCTTTCCCGAGTCTGCATCTATACAAGAAACAGCATGTCGATGTTTGACTGCACTCTTGCAAGAACGACCCTTATTGTGTCAGTTCATCGGTCAGGAGACAGGACAGCTGCCACTTTCCTGCAATATCTCATTAGCAATGGAAAAGCATTGGGATTCATCTTCTCTATTCAAGAGTGCTTGTGATGCTGTGTTAATGATGTTGTCTCATGAACCACATCTGCAACAGGTGCGAAGTTGTACATTACACAATTTTTCATTAGTTTCAGCATTTCACCAGATTACATTTAATTTAGCAGGGGAGTCTGTGTCCCTTGCTTACTTGATAACTTTTTCTTTGCTTTCTTGTTCCCAATCATATTTTACCATGTTCCCTAAAATTACATAGTTCCCTTTTTGGGAGACCCTCGGCAATGAAAACTTCAAGTCGTAGTTCTTGTCAGCAGCGAGCCCATGGGCAGATTTACTGTCTCTAACCCCTCTTATAAAGTGTTCAAGCCCACCAAAATTTTGCTTCACCGCTCCTATTTTGGGTGAAAATCTTTATTCCTAATTAATGCCTAACCCCTGCTGAAGCTCGCTCAGTGGTGCCGCTTGCGCCCCACTAGAAAATTCCCCCCCCCCCCTTTTTTTAAACAAAAATGAAAATCCGCCCTTGAACGAGCCCAACATAAACTGAGCAAGGGGCTCCATGAAGCACCAATGGTGTGGTGAGATACTGTATTAAACAGTGTTGTTTCAAGTTGTTTGTCAACATTGTTAGAAGCTTGTGAACACGTCTTCTTTATAAGATCAATGCTAGGAGATTTTATGTGGTTGCTTGCCTGTGCCTGACAATTTTGAAAGGTATCTTTAGTAGCTAGCATTTCCTTTTGTGAAAATGTCATTAGTTCTTCCCGAGAGCTTATAAGCAGTGAACACAAGGTAATGCAGCTTTTTTGGTATGGTACAAGTAGGTTTGAAGTGGAAAACAGGCTTAAAGGTCTTAAAACTAGGCTACGTCCACACTTTTCCATAGATTATTCCACATTATGTTGCCTTTGCAATTGCAAGTTGTGCTTGCAGGTTAATCACCAATAAATCCAGTGTGAGACAAGTACAGTAATTCATCTGAAATTAGGACAAACAACACACTTGCCACGCATGATTGTGTTCATGACCACATTTATGAAAACCTAGTTCGTTTTCGCCCGTCCACACTAATCCATTGTCAAAAGTCTCCACTTTCAAAGCCGTTTTCAACAAGCTCCATTTTCATTGATGAAGGCATCCGTTTTCCATCGTATTAGTGTGGACGATCGGTGAAAACGCACACAAAAGTATGCGTTTTCAAACGAAAACGGATCAGTTTCTTAATTTAAATTATCTAAATGTAGGAGTTTGCCAAACTGGATTTTCACAAAGCAATTCTGTTGAAAATCTCCGCCTCACAAGACATCCAGGAAGTGGTGAAAGCATTTCAAGTCCTTGTGTATATATCCCGTGAGAATCCAGATTTTAAAGAGAAACTCTTGACGGAAGACATATTGCCTTGTATCTATCGTGTTTTTGAAGCGTTCCCAAGCGACTGTGAAGTGTTAAAACAAGGTGTAATGTTGCTAGGAACGTTGGCTGAAGGTTATCCGTTGGTAACGCATCAATGCATTGTTGAAGAAATTCACCTTAGCTTACTGCACGTTTTGAGAGAGTTTAAAAGGTTTGTTTCACTGGTGGAGGTCACAATTGAAACTTTAGGTAAGATAAACGGTAAAATTATTTTGTTTTCTGATTTCTTCTATATGGTGGGGAAAGAATAAAGAATGATACAAGACAGCGGATTCAGAACCCAGGAATTCATACAGTTAATTGTTGTTGGTAGTTTTTCGCAGGGGCGTATCTATCGTTGGGATGCAGCCCTCTGGTGTGCACCCCACCTATAGTGGTATCTAGCACCCCCTAGAGAAATCCAGCACCACCCTAAAAAATCTTCTTGACCATACCGTTTCTGCTTTTCGAATAGCGATGTCGGAGTCTATGAAATATTACAAGGACGAAAAAAGGTTGTAGTATATAAATGGCTAATACGCATAGGCAATTCCAGCTTTTAGTTTATGCCTGCAGGTGATGATAGGAAGTAAGGTATCATAGTGCTAATTATGCTGAAAAATGTCAATACTACCGAAACAACCGAAATATTTCAATATTTACAAGTATAAGCTATGACTCCGTGTTTACACGGCCATCATTTTTATTTTTTCAGCATAATCAGCAATGTGATACCTTACTTCCCATCGTCCCCTGCACGCATAAACTAAAAGCTGGAATTGCCTATTACGTAGCCGTAGGAGTGCTATAAGATAATCTCTTACTTATATTTATTACGTACAATGCGCGGCGGACGTGAATCTTGGCAGTAAATTGAACGATTTTATGTATGATGGTAAAGTGTTCTGCCGATCTGATAAAATATAATTTCCTACAGTAGTCCTGTTTAATATTAAATTATAATTATTGATGTCATAAGTATACGAGTTTGATATCGAGGCTCAAAATTCAGTGCAGCGCTTTAACGAAGGGATTACCCAAAATTCCGATATACAGGGTGTATCAAAAAAAAGGTATTCGAACTTCAGCGCGCTATTATACGTGAATCACTCAGCGTATGAACAATTGGTTTTCATATTTGGAAAGATCAGGCTTTTAGCTATTGAATGACATACTTTTCATACCAAGTGGAGAAAAAATAAGCATGTACGAGGCCGATCAAAAATGTTAGTCAAAATCGCATATTTTCACCTCTGTGCCTAATTAAAACAATGCATAACAAAAGAAAAAGCAATTATAAAGTTTGTTTGTTCACTGCAACCAGGTATATCAATCATGTTTCGCTCGCTACTCTGGTTTAAATAAATGATTACAAAGCCCAGTCGAATTGTCTTGATTACAATTCGACTGGGCTTTGTAATCATTTATTTAAACCAGAGTAGCGAGCGAAACATGAAAAAGCAATTAATCACTAACGTGTCGTAGCTTAGCTAAAATTTATTCCTACTTAATAATAATTATGAATATGTGCGTAGTTTAATGAAGTGAAATTCATCAACTTAAGTACCAAAGGGAGTTCATTTTCAATGGTTTTAGACCCAACTCTCAACGGTGAAAATATGCGATTCTGTCAAACATTTTTTATCGGATTCGTATTTGCTCATTTTTTATCCATTTGGCATGAAAAAGATATCATTCAACAGCTAAAAGCATGATCTTTCCGAATGTGTTAAAATTTCGTTCATATGCAGAGTAATTCGGATACAATAGCGCGCTGAAGTTCGATGACCTTTTTTTTATACACCCTGTATAGCCATACACCATAGGATACATTAGCATCATCTTAGTATTTATACACGAACTTGTGGTTAGAGCTCGACTACTGTAGCTCAGTTGGTTAGAGCGCTGCACCGGAATCGCAGGTTCGATTCCTGACCCGGTTTACCATTAGGCAGAATTTTGCACGCGGAGCGGAATATTTTTTGTCTTCTCAGATTAATAGTTCCACCGAAGAAATCACAATGTTTGGAATTAATGTATGTTCACTGTTTTAGGTATGTTTTGCACAACAGAAGGTATCTCAGATATCTTGGTGACTGGCGGGTGTGTTGAACTGATCTGTGAATTAATGGAGAAACATAGAAAAAATCCTGAATTTCAAGCTAAATCACTAACTATGCTACAAAGCTTGGTAAAACCTACTGAAGATGTTCTCTCAATACTGCTTCCTGAGATTAAGAAAGTAATGAAAAAGTATCCGGAGTCATGTGAACTGCAACAACAGTGTTGTGCAATTTTGTACAGTCTTGCCAAGGATAACTACGCCATATCTGTCAAGTTAATAAAGGAGCGTTTCCATCAACTGTTTTTTAAAATTCTCGAAAGTTTCGAGGACAACTTCGTGTTAAATAGTGCTGCTGATTGTATCTACCTCCTGGCATGTGAATATGATTTGAAGAACCCGATGTTGTTTGAAATGTGTGCACTTGGTAATGCAACAGCTGTTAGCTTACTTCTCCAACTTTCAGCTGACGTTAACTACCGCGAAGGAAACGACACCCCCCTGAGTGTGGCTTGCAAGGCTAATAACTTAAAGTTAGTTCAATTATTGTTAACGAAAGGAGTTACGGATATGCATCATCCCCTTACTCTGTGCATGGAGAACAAGCATCATCATAAATTAGCTGGTTTTCTCTTGAAACATATGGGTCATGACGAAGATGGAGGCACTATATCTTTGACAGGTGAGCACAGGTGCTACATGTGGATATTGCGCTGTCCCTGGGGAGCACATATACACGTGCACGCAAAAATCTCACATCGTGTAGCAAGTCTGCCAACAAGCCGTCAACGAATTGTGTTCGCACTGCTTGTCTCAAGTTGTCAACAAGTTTGGAACAAGCTAACTCGTAACAACCTTGTTGATATTACAGTATCAGACTTGTTGCAAGGTTGTTCCAATAAGTCCTGTACAGTTATGGTATAACAATATTGTTATATCATGACTGTATCGGACTTGTTAGAACAACCTTGAAACACGTCTGATAATGCCATCAAGCTTGTTACAAGTTGTTAACAGCTTGTTCCAAACTTGTTACAACAAGTATAGGAACAATCAGTGCGAACACAACTTGTCGACAGCATGTGAACAGATTTGTAACAGGCTAACAGCTTGTTTCCAGACCTGTAACAACTTGTGCGTTTTACGTGTGTATAACAAGTATGGTTATTGCGCTGTCCCTTGCCGCTGAGTTAAGCCTGCTCTTGCCTGTCAAGGGAAGCCTGGAAGATATATATGTTGTTAGCGCGCTATCCCTGGGCCCCGTAATGACTAAAAAACTCATTAATAATTCATGAGAAATCACAAAGAAAAATCATAAGCGTGTCGTATCTGTATATGTGATACAGATTCATGTTGATTTACATAAACTTTAACTTTGATTTTCTCGGCTTAGACAACGTTTATTTTTAAAATTACTTCGCCAATGAACTCATAAGATGAGTCGTTTTTCTCGCCTTCGGCTCGAGTTTGTATATCCGATACAACACGGCCGCTCATGTTGTAAATAGTACATATATGTGTTATTTGTAATATTGTTATTTGTTATGTGTTATTTGCTTACGTGCCACACGTAAAAACGCACAAGTTGTAACAAACCTGCAGCAGACTTGTAGCAATGCCGTTCCAACAACTTGTCATCAGGATGTGTTCGCACTGCTTGTTGTCAGCTTGTTGTCAAACAAGCAAGCTGTCAACGGCTTGTTGGAAACTTGCTACATACAAGGTTGTTAAGATCGACAGACTTGTTACAAGTTGTTCCAACAACTTGATATCGTCCTGCAATTCAACAATTTGTCAACAAGTTGTGAGTGACAACCTTGTAACAACTTGATAAAGTAACGGCATTGTTACAATTGTTACAATTGTTACATTTTGCGAACACATCTTGTTGACAAATTGTGAGATTTGTACGTTTGTAATACCATGGATAATAAAATAAATGGATAGGACTCTAGCTGACGTAAGCAAAAACAACCTAGTTGCAATCTGTGACGTCACGCGTATTGCAAAGTTCTCGGCATTTTTGTTGTTTCGCTATACTTTCCGCTTTAAAAGAGTAATATTGAAGCATATACTGGTCTAAAAACATGCCTAAACTGGTCTCTGTTTTAAAAACATGCCTAAGCCACGATAAAGTATTCAAGGTAAATGTTTTTCGTCTTTGTTTTGTATTTTTTTACATTTGTAGCTACGAAATTGGCGTCCCCAATTTTAACGAAATTTGGGATGCCTTTTTCACTGTTTAGTGCTTGAAATATTTGCTAAAATTGACTGGGAATACTTAGAGATTTCATCGTAGAATGGCGTAGTTTATTCATTTGCTCTTTGACTAAAACGTTTAGCTGTATTATTGCTAAACATGCCGTTTTTGGGAATTTGGTTTGCAACTAGGTTTCTACATCCAATCACGCCATCAGCCCATTGAAAACATTAGGTCACGTCAGCTAGTTTCCTATCCATTTATTTTATTATCCATGGTAATACCACAGAATACTACACAGAAGTCCATCTTCATTGTTTTTTGCGTAAGCTCTATTCGTCATGATTCGTCACTCAGCAAGTACCGTAAACAGAAGCAGTCACCCCCCTGAACATACGCCATTTTTAGTATTTCCAGGGGGGTGACTGCTTCCGTTTACGGTACTTGCCGAGTGACGAATCATGACGAATAGAGCTTACGCTAAAAACAATGGAGATGGACTTCTGTGTAGTATTCTGTGGTAATACACACGTAAAAACGCACAAGTTTTTACTGGTCTGCAAACAAGTTGTCAAAAATCTGTTCACAAACTGTCGACAAGTTGTATTTGCACTGCTTGTTCCCAGTTGTTGTAACAAGTTTGGAACAAGCTGTTAACAACTTGTAACAAGCTTGATGGCATTATCAGACTTGTAGCAAAGTTCTAAAAAGTCTGATACAATCACGATATATCGAGAATGTTACGAGGTTGATGACACAACAATATTGTTACAAGGTTGACGACACATGGTTGTAACAATATTGTTATATTATGACTGTATCGGAACTTGTTGGAACAACCTGGAACAACTGTTGGAACAACTTGTTAGAACAAACGTGACGTAGCACGCGCATGCATTACTCCGCCTCATTACTCCGTCTTATTGCTGCCTACTCCGCAGGCCCTCGTTGCGTCATGGGAAGGTCACGATCTGGCGAGGGCCTGCGGAATCTTGTAAAAAAAAATGGCGCCGGCGTCACGTCAGCAAGTAAATTTCTACATAATCTTGAATATAAACAGGATATAAAAAAGCGACTCTTAACTGGCGACTCTTAGGACATGGAAGGAAGCATTTGTTAACGATAAGGTTTGTTGTCCACGCCAACATTGCACGAATAAAACTGCCTTCTTTAACGAAGCAGCTTCGAAACAACATTCATTTTACAAGATTCCGCAGGCCCTCTCGAAATCGCGACCTTCCCATGACACAACGAGGGCCTGCGGAGGAGGCAGGTCTTATTGCTCCACGGCACTGCTTTGTCTGAAAAAAGGGGTTAGTTTGCCCGTAAATAACTATTACTTGCCCTTAGCATGCGCATCATGTGCCCCTGGTTCATTCATGTGCCCCTGGTTCAACTCTTGTGTAATGGACATGAATTAAATTATTATTCATTAACAGGTTTAAAACTTGGCACTCTGAGGACAGAATGGCTTGGACCATCGTTGCTAGGTAGCGACACCTACTCATCTCATATTGCATCAACTCGATGGTTGAATTTAATACGAAATGCTCGACAACGTGTGCGTGTTAGTACAATGATCAGCAGAATCGACGAGGAGATATTGACGGAACCTAGTATGACGGACATCAGTATCCTGGAGGATATGACGTCAGACGGATCAAGTCCTGGTTCGGCTCGGCGTTCTTCCGATCAGGCTGATCCTTTGTTTGATGGTGACGAATCTTTCACTGATTCTGATATTCAAATCTATTCACAGCAGTCCAGATCACGTTCGGGCAGTCGGTTATCAGTAAGTCAGAGTGACTCCCAGCTTAAGACAGTAGCTGAGTGTAGCAGACTTGTACTATCAGAAATAAAAGACAGTCTAAATGAAGCGTTTTTTGAGGAGACCAATATTTCACCCGGTACTCGTCCACGAGGTGGCAGCGAATCTCAAGTTCAGAATGTTGTACATAAAAAGATAATTAAGAAGAAATTAAATGAATCACCTCCACCTAAGGATAAGGAACCACTACCCAAATCAAAGTCAGGAAGTATGATTGAAGGTGACCTGAATATATCAGCCAGTCCTCCTGGTAAAAACCCTGTAAGGTAAGTATATTAGGAAGTTTACGCATGTAAGACAGCAACATCAGGACGACGGGTATCAATACCATGTCATTAATCCTATAGCACAAAAAAAATGAATAATTAAAAGTATAGCAGGAGTTTCAGACGTCGTTCAGGCTCTGTTGACGACGGCGAAATGCATATTTTTACGTCCTGTAAACTACGGCTGCCCAGCATTCCAAGCCGTGGCAGGCAATTTTTCTAGTAGAGTTGATCAAAATTGCTCTGAAGGTTAAAGCTCTGTTTCACTAGTTCTAACCTGTATTAAAAGTGGCCGGACACTTTGACGAAAGCCGTTTTGCCGAAAGACATTTTGCCGAACAGACGTTCTGCCGAACGGACAGTTTGACGAACGGACAACTTGCCGAAAATAGAGATATCTACGATCAAAGTTTCTGTGCACATGATTAAAGTCATTGTCGATTTTGATGACAGAAACTTTGATAGTGAAGTAAGTTTCGTTTTATATTCTTTCAAGTTTTTGACAAGTTTACCGAAATTTCGCGTTATAAAGATTAACATCATTCAACATCATGAATGCGATTCCCGAGAACTGTGCATGTATTCCATGATTCTCGAAGTGAAATTCGCTTACGTCGTTTTCTTTATATGCGCTTGTTTGTTTAGGACCTGACGTCAAAACACGTTCCTAACAAACGAATCATCCGCTGCACAAACAAGCTACCAATAGTCAATATGCATGGTTATACACTGCTAACGATCATATAATGGTTATTTTACACAATCGTTGAGAGTTACACAGTAGAGAAATGAGTCACAGTCCCAAACATTTTGACGAAATAACATCTCTATTTTCGGCAAGTTGTCCTTTCGGCAAACTGTCCGTTCAGCAAAATGTCCGTTCGGCAAAGCCGTCGTCCTGACGCCGCCGTCTTATATGCGTGAACTCCCTATTGTATACTGTCGACCGGGTAGTGAGTATATAAGTGGTAATGTTGTACCAATTTTACTCCCTACAAAATTATTAAATTGCTGGGAGTAAACATTGGCTGCCAATGAATTTTTAGGGATCATATAAGTGAAGTCTGCAAAAAATCTAGCCATAGAGTAGGAGTAATCATGAGACTACGATTCCTACATGCAGCAGTGAAACTCCAATTATACAAAGCAGCGATCCTACCGTACTTAAGGTTACAGGACACCCTTTTGCCAGTTTTTCGGAAAATCGCTACTGCGCGCTCAATATCAGTCCGATTTTCATCAAATTTTCACCAAATGTTCGCCAGTGCATGCAAAATATGGTAAAGTTGTAAAATTAACAAACAATAAAATAATGTAAGAATTATTCAGGAAAATCTTAAGTCGCGGTACCTTTACGCTTTTGAGTTGTGCTCCTGCTGGTTTTAAGTTATATTTTGAAAATATCATTTTTATACAGTAAAATAGTTGTTCTAAAAAATTGTGTTCGGAAATTTTTTGTTTATTTCGTCATTCCGCTGATATGGCGATTTCTTTGACGACTACAATATATTTCTGAATTGTTTGAGTGAATTGCTCTTTATTTTTAAAATATCCAAAATTTAAAAAAAGCCGAACGTATTTAGCTATGACCTGTGAAAATTTGAGAAAAATTGGTTAAAACTCGCAGGAGCACAACTCGTTTGAAAATCAGTAATTACCGTAAAATTTTTCGGGAGAAAATTGAATTTGAATATTACATTTTCAATGTATTTCGTATTGCAGCGAAATGTATTTTATTAAATAACTCTGCGAGTTTTTAACATTTTTCGTTCAAACTTGGTCAGATAGTAGAACTAGTCTAATGCTTTCATTGAAACCAATAAAAAAATTTTAGGCAAAATTAACACTCAAAGGTGTTCTGTAACCTTAAACGTATTGTAGTATGATTTGGCATTATTTTAGGGGAAGTGATACCCGAAAGGTACATTAGAACGTGTCCAGAAAGAGCTTTACGGGCAATATTTTGTGACTGGAACACTTCTTATAAGCAGTTATTAGAATGGGCTAAGCTACCTATACCTTATTAAATAGACGACTGCAAGATCATATTGCGACCATCGTGTATAAGGTCAAATCTAAGATCTGCCCAAATTACATGGTAGACATGTTTTCTAGAAACTCAACAATATATAACCTAATTCCAGAACCATCCTCAGAGATAGGAAAACTAGTTTCATATTAATCTGACACTGCAATCGAGCAACGAAAAATTTGTTGGCTCGAGCGGGATTTGAACTCGCATCTTCGGGTATCTAGACAAGCGTTAACTCGTCACGAAAATATTTCGTGCACTTAAATTGGATAAGACTCGCTACCAATCTCTGTTGACTCGATAGCTCAATAGGTAGAGCGGCGGTCTAGATACCCGAAGATGCGAGTTCAAATCCCGCTTGAGCCAACGAATTTTTCGTTGCTCGATTGCAGTGTCAGATTAATATGAAAATATATAACCTAAGTGTAAAGGAATTTTGTATCCCTAGATTTAATACAGTGAACTACGGTAAACATTCTCTCTCCACTACTGTGGTCTAAGCTACCAGCAAAACATAAGAACTATTCAGTCATTAAAATTATTTAAAAGAGAAATTAGAAAATTAGATTTCGAGGCTTTAATGGCTATAGTGATGACTGTAGGAACCGCTCGGTATGTAGTACATTGTAGTATTGTAAATATTTTAGCTGTAGGAACTCGGTATTGAATACCTTGCCCTTGGGGTATAATTTCAGGTAGTTGCTGACTAAGCTTGTTCTCATTTTCTAGGTGTTTAGACTTGTCCAGAAACGAGATTTCTAATGTTGACATTTTAGCAGAACAACCAAGTACGATCTCATTTCATCTCTCCTGTATTGAAAACCTGGATCTAAGCCACAACACGTTAGCGGCGTTACCAATCGATTTATACCAGAACATGAAACAGTTACGGAAACTTGTTTTAAGCCACAATGGTCTCACCGCGATCCCAGGCTGCGTGTTCACGTGGAGTAAATCCCTAGAATGGGTTGATCTTTCTCATAATAACATCAAGCACATGGGCAAACCTAGAAACCATGTCACGAGCTTTGTCTTACACCTCGATCTATCGTACAACTCGATTGAGGAATTTCCTAGCTGCATCAGGGAAGGATTTCCTTTGTTGGTACATCTTGATTTAAGTCATAACTACATCAAGTTTTTACCCACGAAGTTGGAAAGCAATGAGGAAAGTCAAGCACAATCCACAGAAGAAGCTATCAAGCTAAGCAAATTGCAGACTCTGAACCTCTGTCACAACGCTATTGAAACAGTCTCTGCCAGTTTTTTAACATGCTTAACTAACTTGGAAACATTTCGAGCTTCACACAACAACTTAAGATGTCTTCCTGATACCGTTGCAACGTTCTTGACGAAATTAGGAGTCGTGAAATTATCCCACAACAAATTAGTCGAGAAGGCTCCATTTTACTTATCAAGGTTTGTGTTGTGTCTACCAAATGTTCACTCTGTCGATGTAAGTGAAAACGGCCTGACATCTATCGCAGCGCCACCAAGTTGGTCCAGCCAGCGTTTGAAAGATCTTAACGTCTCCTGCAACAACATCAGAACTATCGACCTCACCAAAGCTGCAAGCCAATGGCCATTTTTAACCCATCTAGATTTGAGCGATAACGACCTGAGGCAAATCCCCAAAGGTATAGGCGAGCTGAAGTCATTGGGTCAGCTGAATATTAGCGGGAACACTAGAATCAGTATCCTGCCAAACGAAATGGGAAATCTTGGCAAACTATGGGAGTTTTTACACACGGGTGTGAAGATTGATATGAATGATTCGCTCCTTCGTGGCAGGACACGTGATTTAGTTGGTCACCTTCACGCAAGGCTCAAGAAGTCTGCTCCAAACCCGCAGAGAAAGGTGGTCGTCTGTGGCCCGCAATCGGGCGGGAAGACTACCTTACTTCGTTTACTCTCCACAAGCAAGACTTTAAAGAAACTGTGTGTGAGAGACGGACGAAAATCGAAGTCGAAGAATACGAATGAAAGTCTTCATATTCAGAAATGGATAATTGATGATGTCAAAGGAGATTGTCGTTGTTGTAGTCGTAAGAATGTTTCTCTTGTCTTACGCATGTGGGAGTTCTCGGCAGACGAACATAACGCATGCGTGCACCGTTGTTTCTTAAACGAAACCGACCTTCATATTCTGGTTTTTGATGCGAGCGCAAGTGTTGAGAAAGTTGACTCGTTGAGACCCTGGTTAGCCAACATTCATGATCAATGCCCTGGGGCGAGTGTCATGGTAGTTGGTACGCATGTTGAGAAGATCCCGGCTTCGCGAAAGAAATCTCACTTGGATAACCTCAATAACCGAATCCAGGTGATTCGCAAGTCGCCAGAGATCCCGGTTATTCAAAGTGTGTCCTTCGTCGACAAGAATACAAGTGTGGATAACGTGGCAAGAAAGTTGTTGAATCTTGCTATGGCGTGCAACATGAAGGGAAATCAGATTCATAATCATAACATGCCCAAGAGTTTCATCACCCTACAGAGTGTTATGGAGATCAGAGCGAGAAACGAGACAGAGAATGGCGGTGTCATTCATTTGAGTTCGCTGAAAAAGATCGTGCAAGATTCCAAACTTGATATCAACGACGACGAATTACATGAAGCTGTCGTGTGCCTTCGTCAGTCTGGTGAGTGTTTGCCAGTGAGCTGGCGTTTCACCGCCCTATCTTATAACCGTGTCCTTTCAAATCCGCCATATCGAATTTGACTAGGAGTGAGAACTACAAAGTAAAAACGAAGCTAAAACTAAGTTTTCATTGCTTAAATCTTTTGCCTTGTTGTCTAAGTTTACAGTTTGAGGATAGGTTTTGAAATATCAGGTTGTTCGAAGGCACAAAAGCAAATGTAAGTGATGCATCAGTTGTGCATTTAGAAAAACAGTGAAAGTTGTGTAGCCTTTCCAAAGTAATTTCGCGTAGACATAGTTATGAGTTGACCACTATCTTAACAGGTATTGAAACTCATCAATAGCTATTTACAAGCGAATGATTCATTTGTTTATCTTCTTTCTAGGTCTTTTGATGAATTACGCAAAGCCTGCGGCAAAGTTGAATGAATTGTTTTTTCTTTCTCCACCCAAGCTGGCTGCCTTGATAGCGAAGGTTGTTACATTCGTCGTAAATGTTGCAAACCCTATGGAACTGATCACGCAAGAGAAACTGCGTGAACTTATTGTAGCCGAAGGTTTTTCAAACATGCACGTACCACAGATACTACGGTAAGATATAAAGACTCGTTTACACTTGCAATTTTTGCTGCGATTTTCCTCTTCTGAAGGATGTGAACGGGTGGATGAGCTATGAATGTTCGGATGAGGGTACGTGTATAAAGAACATTCATAATTCATCTACACTTTCACATGCATCAAAAGATGAAAATCAGCACAATTTGCAAGTGTAAATGTGCCTTAAAAATCATCGTTCTTATTACCTCCTAACCTTGAATACTTGACATATTTACGTTATTGAGAATAGTGCTATCATTCAGGGGTGGATCTACGGTGGGTGTACGGGGTGCGTACCCCCACCTAGTGGTGTCTAGCATCCCCCTGGGGACGTTCAGCACCAACCTAAAAAATCTGTTTGACCATACATTTTCGAATAGCAATTAGCGGAACTTCAACTGTTAGCGCGTGACGATATCTTGAATTTCTTTTAGTTAAATATCATGGTCGAATACGTAAACATGTCGAGGTTGTTATACAGCCATATTATCAAGTATACTGTACTGTACTGTACTGTACTGTACTGCACTGTACTGTACTGTACTGTACTGTACTGTACTGTACTGTACTGTACTGCACTCTACTCTACTCTACTGCACTGTACTGTACTGCACTGTACTGTACTGCACTGTACTGTACTGTACTCAGTGTACTGTATAACAAGCAAATGTACTGTACTGTGCCACAGCAACTGTCCAGTCACGCATACGTGATAAAAAAGCCGATATAAACTTTATAAACAAAAGATAATGTAAAACGTAATAGAACGGCGAACATGCAGATTCGACCATCTCAAATAATTAGCCTTTTCCCAAAAGAGATCACAGTGTATTCTGGGATCGTTTGGAGGGACAAAATGTATGAGGACAGGTGTCAAATATGCGAAAGAGTAGAAGTATCTACCATAACTTTTTAGACGACCAAAAATGAAATATCTCCTTTTTACATTAAACATTTAATTTAAATGTGTGCTGC